TTATGTTATAATCCATTGATTCTGTCAGACTAATCTACTATAGCCTCAGTGCCACCTACCACTTCAACATACCCTGCCATCTCCGCTTATATTCATCTGCCTGCATGCATGGACACACATGAAATAAAAAAAGACAGCTGAAAAATAAAAGATACAAAACAAAAAACTAATTTGCTCAATTTGTATTTAGCCAAGTATTGGCATACCTGAAGTGGGAACTTCTGTTGTCTCAGCAAGGCTGCATCCGATATGTACTCACTCAGAATGGTGGGTAATTCTGATGCAATGATCGGCAGACCAGGAAATATGACATGTCTGTTTATGTTATTAGCCCTGCAAAAACAACAGCAGAACCTGTCCCTTCGTTAAACATCTGTAGAGGATCAATACTTGCCTCAGTTTCTCATGAGCGCATAGAACGTTCCACTGATCAGCATATAAATGACACTAAGTTTTGCAAAAATGATTGTCATAAATCAAACTGACAATTTAAAGTCAGCTGTAATCTTCGGTGTGTCTTATTGGAGGCAATACAAACTATTGCATGAAATTACATATAAACAAAGTTACATATAAAATTATGTAAGGATGCTTTATTCAGTGATTTACAGAAAATGTATTAAAACATGTGTTTAAAAAGAATTATGTAACTCTTGAACTGTAGTTTTGCTTTTCTTAAAGTCTTTTTTGACATCTCTGTTGCCTTGTGCATACAGTCCCTTTCCTTCTACTTCTATTCAACTCTTCATCCTCAAAGCCAGTGCAGAGATTAGAATTCAGAAAGATTTAAAAGAGAAATCGTCTGAATGCAACATTCTATTATTTTACAAACTCCTGCAGCCAAACGCCAACACACTTTTTTGCCTTTTTATTATGCCTGCATGCCAATACTCAACAGATCTGTTTGCCGATGGATGTTTGTGTAACCGGGTCTTCTGTCCTCTCCCCGAGCAAGTCAGAGCTACTTCGGCTCAGCTCCATTTCTAATTAATTGGAAAGGATCCAGGGAGCATTTCACTATCATTTGCCATCACGCTGTGAAAGTAATTCACAGTGTAAGAAGCTGACCAACAGTGCACCGCAATATCTCCTTGTCACCTCTTACATTATTTGCAGCTGATGAATAGGGGGTCGTAACTACAGAGGGAAGTTCCAGGCCAGTGTTTGGCACTCATAATTCAGTCTAAGTGGAGAAAAAACAAACAAGGACAAAGAGAAATAAGGAAATAGTGAAAAACAACCAAAAGGGAAGTAAAACTAGCATTACGAAATGGGAGTATAATGGACCTGACAGGATCGGATCAACTGCCTGCAACAGTATATCTAATACAGTGAAGCAAATCTTTGATGTATTATGTCATGACAGGGCCGAAAGAGCCACGTTCAAAGAATGTGTCTAATGAGCTCACCCATGCTGAAGTGTAAAGTAGTGTGACATTAATTCTTAATGGGAGAATTAAACGCTTAGCAATTGCAAGTGTCTGTCACAGCCAGAATAGCAAAGAAGTGTGGACTTTTCCTGAAAAACCCATTGGTTACTTTTAAGGAACCAATCGTTTGGCAATAAAGAAACAGTTCCAGTGGTCCATAAGAATTTTTAAACTAGACACTGACTTGAACAAAAGAAACAGTTCAGGGAGTCATTCACTAGAAGGCAATTAAGAGCAGCAAACGCATCCACATTACAAAATAAAAAGTCTCAAAGATATAGCAGGATACTTTTTTTAGAATCACATAAAACATTATTTTAAAACAAAGTCCATTTATGTGAATTTCAAATTCTTCCTCCGTGCTTTCTGTTTCAGCCTCAGAGTCCATGAGTTCATTCTTGGGATTGAAAGAGTTAATTTGGCCATTCATAGCGGTAACTCAAATACAGTATTTTCTGTAGGTCATCAATAAGAAATTGCTGTTCAAGTGAATCTTATAACGTAACTGAACAGACTAAAGCCCCGTCAAACAGAACCATCGCATGAATCAGTCAAGTTTTTTTGTTTGTTTGTTTGTTTGTGGTAGCTGAAATCACAAAGTGGAATAAATCAGTTTAGGCCACACTTACAAAACCTCAGTAACAGGAGGAGTTAAATTATGTTATTCTAATTCGATTTGCCCACATGAAGAAATGATAAATCACCTGGCTAACCCTCTAAGGAAGCTATCTGTCAATTTAGTATTCATACAGTCAAATGGAATACAGCCTAAATTAGATTTAGTTATACAAAAGTATCCGTTTATTTTGTTCCTCTCTAACACTGTGGACATGAAATGACTAAAGGGGCATGCCTCATGTTAGATGGTCAGACTGAGTTCTGTTCCCACAACTGCCACAAAGACCTTTACTCTACCATCTAACACGAGCAAAAGTACTTCTGAAGATCTTAAAAATAGTCGATGCTCTTACGTGTCCAGTGTCTGAGATCCTTTGTGTCCTAAACTACTATTTTTGATAATCTATAAAGCTCTGATATTTTCTGATGTATAAATTCCACCTTCCATATTCCGAATTGTTTGAGACACAGCTGCCATGGCCTCTCTCAAATCCTATAGGATGGACCACCCTCCTGCCTATGCAAGCTCTATCTCCACCAGGAACATTGTATTTCTATTGACTGCGACTTTGCAGACGCTGTCTTTTTCTGTCAGCAAATCCTCAAAGGATTGCATCTGTTTTCTTTTCAGGATGTGAGAGGTGCATCATCCCTGTAACTGATATCCTTGTATGTTTTTCCAGTTTTGATTCCAGCCTCTATAAAATATTTATTGTACAACCAGCTCAATTGCCACCTTTTTTTCTTTAATCATTCCTTTTAACTTAAATATTTCCAAAAGGCTTAGAATTCTTCAAAATGTTCCACTGAAGTGATTTGTGTAAGTTGGAAAGCCTTTGACCTCAGTTGTGTCTGTCTGCATACCAACACAGTCTCCTTCTTTGGAGGACATAAAGGATTTATGCCTCTGTTTTTTCATTTAGTCCAATGCTATTTACACAAATCAACTTTTATATTCCACGTGTCCACAATATAATTCATTTGACTCTGTGACCTGCATATGAAATAACTTCAGATTTGTTATGGCTATTCATGGAATTCACTGTAAAATGTAATTTGTCAGCAATTCTGCTGTGCTGCTGTCCCCAAATCTCTGGCAGCATGTGTGTTAACCACTCATGCTGTGTTTACAATAATGTTACTGTGTTTGTAGGGCAGATAAGCCTATTTACTGGTCTGTGTGTAACTTTGCTCTATCCTACACAATAAGAGGACAGATTCATGTATCAAATGATGCCGGACAACCACAGGGGCTAAAATACTTCCCCTCACCCAAACGTGCAACTGACACATTTCCATCTGACCTAGTTTATTTTGGATTAGTTCTAGTCAAGACATTAAAGATCCAGTTTGTTATTGAATCCGAAACTGTCATTCTCCAATGTTCATTTAGTCCCATTACTGTGGGGCTTCAGTCCGAACAGGTAAAAAAGTTGTTCCAATCAGCTGCTTAAGAGAACAACAACATAATTTAAAACTCTAACATTTTCATTTCAGATCTTAAAGACTTCAATTCAAACATGAATATGATGAGAAAATAAAGCGGAGGAACTTTCCAACATTCAGATGTCCTCGTTCCACGGGACACTCTTGATTCCTCTCGGCGATCTCTTGTTTGGCCAAAAATCAATCCTTCTATGGAGTAGCAGTCCATTTGTCCTTGGCTTTGACAGAGGTTTAGGTCAATAAATGGACTGCATTGCTACTATCTCCCAGTAAATCCTGTGTTTGGCATGGCAATTCTCTGACTGGTGCCCGTGATAGATGGTGCAGACGTATGAATGGGATCACTGGAGCTATTCAGAGACAGTGCTGCTGTCTGTCATACAGTTATTTCATGGGGGTACGTTCAGTTATAGAATGTATGCAACTCCCATCAAGCCCATTGCATACCATTTAAACATTTAAAACCTAATTGTTTTACTTGTTCTTCTCTGGTACACAACTAATAGCAATGCCCTGCTGTTAGCATCTTAATTAAATATCACTAGTTTAATGGAGGGTTTTCTCTGTATTCAGCTCATTCACTTGCAAGGAAACATTGAAAATGTTTACCAGTTTTATTTTTAGATCTTCCAAAGGTAAAAGAAATAAAGAGCAGTATTTATTATTCAAATAATGATATATTTTGGGTTGGTTTTGCCACAGTACCAGGACTCTATGGGGGAACTGAGTTGATTATTAACTCCTCTAGATACCAAAGAGTGTTGTTGACACTAACTTTCATGTCAATGTTTCAAAGTTTTTATATTATGTATTGGTTTCCTTCATTATTGTTTAAATGTAACTAGAGTAATAAAAAATTAATAGGACTAAATCACAGCAGCCTGGGATGGAAGTAAGTCAACTTGATTAACTTAAATACTATAGTTTCTTATGCTATGTCTTTCTTCACTCTCTTAAGTTAATTAAATTTTGATTTATTTGGTTGTCCCTTGGATGAACATGTGATTTATTCATTAACCAGCTTTCTCAGAGTAATGGGCAGATCGTTGCATGTAACCTGATCCTATCATTCTATGTCATGAATAAATGTATGCATCAACGTTATTATTTTATCATTATTATCCGTGAGATGATTTGCAATATATTATGTAGAAATTATGTATATCTATTCAGCCTCTCACCCAATAGTGCTTCTTTGAATTGCTCCTTTGAACAGTTCAGCTAACTAATGCAAACTTTCTCCAATACGTGGACACGAGTTGAAACACACCCACACACATGTCCACGCAAACATTGTGTGCTGAGCGGACTTTTCCACATCCTCCTTGTGATGATAAAGGCAACTGAAGAGATGGAACCTGCATGATCACACTGAGGAGAGTACAATACGTAAATAACCACAGTGGGACGGGCCCTCCTGCACAAAAGGCTGAAAACAGCGTGTCACTTCCTTTTCTTTGCATCATGTGGCTCTTGGTTTCAGCTCCTTCCTCTTTTGCTTTGTGCCAATACTGACTTCACTCTTTATACTTCTCCCCACATGCGGAGGGAACACTTCGTGATCAGACTTTGTTGAAGTCTTTATCAAAAAAGATAAAATGTCTTCAGTCATGGATGGAGTCCTACTTTCTTTGTCATCATCCTCATCGTTACCTTCCTCAACAGCAGCAACAGAAAAACAGAATGACGCTTCACCTAAGAGTGATGGCAGCGTCCCTCAGAGCCGAGAGGAACACAAATCAACAGAAGAATTATGGTTTGTACATATGTTATATTTGTACGCAATTAAACACTTGAAATCTTCAATAATCAGTTGACCTAGGCCTTAAACTGTACTCATTGAGGTATATTCTTTTCTGTTAAAAGTAATATTAACTTACAGTTGTTTGTATCTTTTGTATATAACTGCCATAGTTGTTTACCCCAGTATTTCTTCTTGTTTTTCAATTTTTCTTGTTTCAGATATATTAAGAATACATGATAGTTCATTCTTCCTCGGAATGTATAACCATGATTAACAGATAGTTAATAATCAGATAGTGCTGCTCGATAGTTAAATGAAGAAATTCAGCTCAGTGAGTTGAGGAGTGAAGAGGGATTGTAAAATTTCCCATGATGTCATGAAGATGTAGGCTTCAGTTAAATGTTTTACCAACCGCAATATATTATATTATAAAAATTGGATTTCATGATAACAGCCACTGTTCATGATATGGACACACAAAGACCAAGTCAAAACCACTTAAAACCACTTAAACAAATATAATAGTTTGTCTTAAATTTACCAACATGACAACTCCAACAAGTAGTGAAACTCCAGAGTACTGTCCCTTGAGGTTCAGTTCAGCTGTGACCATTTTCAAAATGTCTGTTCACAACGATATTTTACTGGGTCACCAATAGCAGGAAGAATTTCTAATTAAAGAAATAACAAAAACATTATTCATTTCTAGCTTGTATCACATTAACTGGTGGCTAAGAAAGGTTTGGATGAAAGCAAAAGTATCTATTTAGTGAGTAAACTGAAAGCCTATTCTTGGTTTCCATCTGTGTGGGCGGTTAAACGTAAGCTTTAAAAGTGAGTGGCTGGGGTACACTTGATTTTGCACAACAATTTAAGTCCACAAAGTTGACAGGAAAAACAATCGATTTGAGGGTCCTTGTGGGCCTATTCTTCAACTGAAGGATAAACTGTGATTGTCAACACACCAGCCATGGTGGTCATTCAAGAACTAGAGTTGGACTTTTCTAATTTCCCTGTTCATGCTCTAACTGTGCACACAGCACAACTGTGCACAGAACAATTTTTTTTTTAGCAAGAATGAACATGTTTGGGAGGGCCTTCCAAACTACGTCCACTTCAAACTATACCGTTTTCTAGTCTACATTTTGGAAAAAGAGGAAACAAGACAAGTCAAAACAAATTAAAGCTAACAACCTTAATCACTTTACATAAAATTAAAAACTATATGCTAACCAAATCTTCCTCATTAGCTTAATAAACGCACTTCCTGCAGCAGTAACTGTTTAATAAGAAAGATAATTGTTGCAAAACACTGAATCAAATCTAAATATTGATTTATTCTCATGGTAAAAATAATTTCTTTCCATCTTGGGTTTGCTTTGCAGGTGCTCACGTGTTCCTATTTGGATTACTTTCGTCTGACAATGCAGCTCTCTGATATTATGTAATAGGTTTTTCACGTAGCAAGACACTGCACATGAGTGGATGAAAGCATGTATTTGTGGAGGAGTTTAGCCCTAAGGGGTATGAAAGGTGATTTCAGATTGTGCCTCTTTGTAGTACTAAACTTTGTAAGGTTACAGCACTCCACCGGTATGTTTGTGTGAAGAAGCCCTGAAGGGGTTCCACACAGGACTGTGTGCTTCTCCTCAGGGCATTTGTTCTGCCACCCTGTCAGAATTCATTTAAAACCACATACAATAAAAATCAACAGAGCTGGTGGAAAATAAGCTAGTTTGACTAATTAACTGATGCAAATATTTTCATTTTCTACAAAGGGCTTGGTAGATACCAACATTTTCCTGGGATCATCACCCACATTGTTTCTCCAGGCGATCAGTGCGCAAAAACATCTACTCATTACATTTTGATTGGCCAGCAGAGCAAATGCAGAGAAATATATCAAAATGTGCTCAGATGTGTGTCTCTGAGTGTTTTAGTGCATAATGTGACTGTAATTCTGTGTGTGTGTGTGTGCGTGGGTTTGCATAATAGCTGCTGTTCGATTCTCTGGAAGTGCACTCTGAGTGAGTGGGTGTTCAAAAGCACCTTGACTTTCTTTTGTGCATACGTATGTTTGCTTATTAATAGAAAACCTCTTCTAATGTTAATCAGGATGAGTTTTATTTATGGAACATAACGTCCTCACTCTTTGCGTCTGGTGTGCCTGTGCAGGGCAGAGACTATCAACCCCATGGGTGACAGACTTCTGTCCACAGAGGAGCAGGTCACTCTGATCACTGAGAGTCTGACCGTCACCTCCACTGACCAGGAGAAGCTGCTGCTGCTGAACAAGAACACTGAGCTCCGCAGAGTAAACAAAGAGGTACAACATCTCACTTAACCGTTCTCTGCAGGTCTTCCGATTTACTGAAAAATTTTAATTACATTTAGCTCTCCCTGAAAGAGAGCTTGGAGTGAGTGTTCCGTGTTACATAGTACTATAAATCAACAAAGAATTTTTCACAATGTTGTCAGGTTTTAAGTACACGAGATTTAGGTTAAAAAACAGTATTACGCGAAATATATCTTTAATGCAGTTAGATGTTCACACACATGCAGAGGGTAGAGTAAAGCCCCTCACCTTGTTTATCATGCCCACATTGTTGTGGGGACTGTGAAAGAGAGCAGTAAAGGTGAAATGAACAATGTTATTGATTACCATGGCCAAGGCCTTGACAGTGATGGCTTTTATGCGATGATGATATGCCACAGTTGATGAAGCTGAACGAGGACTGGGACCAAGTGTACCGCAGTGCCACCCTGGGTCTACAGAACAGACTGGAAGCTCTGGAGTTGGAGAACAGCGCCATCAAACAGCTAAATACCCAGCTCCTTCTCAAAGCTGAACAACAACAAGTAAATCCCCGTACTGTCTTTAACTTACAGCAGTGGCCTATACACTGCAAATGGAACTGGGCAGCAAGATGCTACATTGAGGAGATTCCTTGTTTCCGACAGACACTGACAAGGCCAAGATGTGTAACGTTTGCTGATGTGTTTTTAATTCCAGAGTGCAAAGGAATATTATGAGCAGGCACTGATGGCAGAGCTGAAGAAGAACCAGGAGTTACGGGAGTATATCAGGGTACTTGAGAGCAGGATTCCTCATCCTGAGAGCAACTGCACACCTGTCAAACAGGTACTTTTCCTGCCAGTGGGGCTGCGCAACTGCTCACCTATTTGAGTTCTCATTTCTTAAATGCGGTCTTCTCCATGTGTGCAGCCACTCACCTCGTGTTGTCTTTTGGCAGAAGGGCAGCTTTAGTGCTGGGAAGATCGGACCATGCTCCACCAGCTCTCCCCTCGAAAGACCTGATCTGTCCGGTAGCCGTGTTTCAGGATACCCCTTTTCCACCCTTTCCCCAGCCTCCTCCAGCCCAGATGCAAGATGGCAGAGAAAAAGCCCAGGCAGTTCTTCAATGGGGTCTTTGAGAAACTCTCAGCAAGAAGTTCAAGATTTAAAAGACCAGTTAGAGGCACTAAAATGTCAGGTGGGCTACAATTTTCCCCTCAGGATCCCAGAATGTTTGATGTGTTAAATCTAAACACTTGAGAGAGTCACTGTTGCCAGGTAAAGATTTTCCTGATGTTTAAATAGAGACTTCAGTGAGTTGGGGAACTGTGCCTCCAAGTGGTTGCTACTGTGTGTGCCATCTAGAAATGAACAGCCTACAGCCCTGCAGATCTTAAAATGTGGCTTTAACACTGGCTCGCCACCATTTTGATGTGTCAGCAGACTGAGATTTATGAGGCAGAATATCAGACAGAGCACAAGGACCACAAGCACACGCAGCAAGAAAACCGAAGGCTTCGGAGGAAAAGGGAGGAAATGTGCCAACAGGTGGCACTTCTGCAAGAACAGGTGAGGTTTGAACTATCTGTACTCACAGCTTTGCCGTCATGTAAATGTCCTAATCCTGAAACCAGAAATGTATTAACTAGATGAAAATGCATGGAATTATTGATACATTTGATTAAAGTTTAAAGAACATTAGTGTCACATGAAATTAGTTTAAAAATGTGGTCAGGTAATGCAACATAGCTTCACACTATAAAAATGTATAATCTCAGAGAAGGTTTTTTTTTAAATTGGAGCATTTTCCTCAGCTGATTTTACATCATTTACACTTTTCGAAATCCTCTGTAAGGATTTCCAAAAAAAACATTTTGGGGGATAAACGCACACGGACCTTTATGTCTTAAATGCCTGAGCTTGTCCCAGAATTTCATTAACATTTTTGCTGTTCTGAAATGGCCACAGCTCAAGATTTATGAGGACGACTTCAGACGAGAACGGTCTGACAAACAGGTGCTACAGCGACTGTTGTTACAGAAACCTCCAAACAAGGACCTGGTGCTCATCCACCGCTGTAATAATGAGCAGCACCAGTCAGGGGGACGCAAGACGGCACCAAGCGAAGAAAAGAGAAAGCAGCACCACCCACTCTGCCCAAAGCACACAAACAGTGGCAAAGAGTCTGACTGAGGCTCTGAGGGCGAGAAAGACAAGGTCTTACACACAGGGGACCAGTTCAAGAAATTATTAAAATTAGATGAATACATCTTTTCTATCTGATTCTGATATTCCTATGTGATATATGCCATTTATTAACCTGTCCACCATAGCTCTTTCTATTGATGTATTGACTGATCTACACATACAGTATAGAAAAAGATATTAAATGACAATTCTGTCTTTTTTTCATTATGGGTGCAGCAAAATAAACCCATAGACACCAGGGGGCAGTATTACATTGGAAATATCTGTATTCTCAAACTATGTTTTCAGTTTTTGGACAACATGTCGGAAGTATTTTTAAGGGGTTTGGCACCAAATGATCCTGTTATAACTACATACTACTCTATTTATACTTTTTGTATGCCCTCTTTATGTGGAACTGCTACATGACACAGCCATACAACAATTCAGGTGTAACGAGTAAACACATTTTTTTAACAATAATGGAAAGATGTGTATGTTTTATAGAATAAATAAAAAGAACAAACTTGTCTATCCTTGAAATTACCTTTTTTTGTTTGAATTCTCAAGAAGAATAACAACAAAATAAAACAATAGGATGATATTCTTAAGTAAAAATAAGTGACAAAAAGGCAATGAGTGTTTATTTGTGTAGCCCCATTTTCTACAAAACAGTTTTACAAAGTGCTTGGCCAGTGGGTAAAACTAAACTATTTAGCCCATTTTATTTTCCAGGACACACAGTGACTCAGGAGTAGAAGTTTTCTACCAGCTGCCTTTTGAAGTATATAATCTCAGCAAGAAAAAGGTTTTGGCAGGGTCTTCCCATCTTGGGTGTTTTTTTAAAAACTAGGAAGACATTGATTTAGATCGTAGGGTGAAAAAGAATTTGGAGCTGAAAATTACTTTAAACTGAGAGAGTATGCAAATCTGTAAATTAAAGGAAAAAAAACTAGAAAAGTGAGAATGTAAAAAATGCATTTAAAAAGATTGAAACATTAAATCAAAACGAATCAACCTTTTGTGCACTTTAAAAAAATTCATTTTCAAAACAGATTTTGTTGAAGTTGCTTCTGTTGTAATAGTGCTGTTCCTTATTCTGCCCGCTATTTTGTCCCTAGTTTGAGCCAACTTCTCCCTGCATGAAACCTTCACTTTGGAAAAGAAATTAACTGTAAAGTTTATTTGCTTCATATGGCAAATATTTTCCCATCTTTTACAGGGATCCTACCAGAACTCCCCATTCTAAGAGCTTTATTGAAGAACAAACTTTGTAAAGGAAAATACTTGCACAGTTTGTTTTTTTGTGGTAGTATAAAGTCTGATTAATGCTCAGGCAACAAACGAGTCAAATTCATTTTCAGTTTATTGTACAAATTTATGCACAAGTACTTTGATAGAAAACATTTGTCAGGCCAGTTTCAGCGTCTC